TTTTTGTGGTTGTTTGTAATACTCACTCTACTCTCAGTTTAAGAGCTAAGTGCTTTGTAAGAGTATTAACAGCACAACAGACAGTTCAACTAAATAAATAACCAAGAGGGCCATTTAATGTCACCCGCCTTGTCAGATTTCAGCTGTCAGTGTTGAGGCACTGGAGTTTTGGACTATGCTGGCTCTGTGAACATCTGTGGTTAGACCTTCATCATTTTTCATCACAGCTTTTCTTAAAAGGGGCGTGTGAGGTTAGTAACCTTACTAAGGTCCAGCTTGAGAACTCGTGCTATTAATTAATTAGAGCTTAGTGCCATGATGGTTATAGCTAGTTATATTTTTAACAAAGGGAGGCCCAAAAAACTGTTTCCTTGCATGAGTTTCATCTACAGTAATTGAATTTAGTGTTTACAACTATTTAAGACCTCCTGCACCCTTTTCACCCTCTATGACCTCCTCACCATCTGCTACAACCTCATCTCATTAATACCATATTACTCATTTGCTTATGTTTTTGTAAATAAATAAAATCTCCCCAGCCTCCATCCCTCCATTCCTTTCAAATGAGAACCACACTTGGGTTGCTTTCCAAGGGTGATAGGCGGTACTTTTTAGGTGCTCCCTGCTGACTGTTGGGCACAGAGAAACACACATGCACACACTCAACACCTCCACAACTTCAGCTTGTCAGACCCCGCATCAGTCGATTTCCAAAGACGGATAAATTTATCAGTTCTTGTGGCCTTGCTTGGACTCAGCCAGAAACAGCAGACCCCCTCCCCTCGCATTTCATCAGTGCTCCACCTCTTTAATTTCCTCTAATTCTTTCCATCCTCTGCTTTTTATATTGCAGCACTCGTTGGCTCATCACTCCTCATTTCTGGTTTTCTCATTTCTGTTTAGATTTTTCTTCGAGTCTTTAGACACCTTGCTAGCTTGTGAAAAACCACACAGAAATCTTGTCTGCCAAACGCCAGAGCAACATAAAATGCCTGAATGAAGCAATAATGAAGAAAATTAATAAAGGAAAAGTTTATTTCATTTCACACTTGTCACAACAACTTGAATAGTTGAGTTGAGAACGTTTCAATTGAACAGCAGCACCAGCAGCTGCTTGCTATTGTTTGGGGAACATAGATTTTTCCCTCTTTTATGCTCACGTGACTGAGATCTGAGGTCAAACGAACATGTGAATGTGAAAAAGTACTATTCTTTCCATAAGTGATGAATTAAATTAAGAGTTAAAATGCTTGCAGCCCTAGGGTATTGCTATATGTAAATCCATATTTAAATCAATGTAGAGCCCCCATTTGCCTCTGTTGTACATTAACTGCCAGCTTGCATTGTCCATCCACTGTAGAAATGATATGGAGGATCAGTGAGCGCTCTCCTGCGAGGGTGAGACGATGACTGAAAGAGACACAAATGACAAGCCTTGCATGGACAGAAATATCTGTACTCGGGAAATCAGGCTGCCATTTGTTTTTATTTCTAATAATTCACCGAACTGCACGTGAAATGAATCACATGTGTGCCTGCTGATGTATTTTGCCAAGAACTAACCAAAGTCAAATTCTTCCTTTGCTTTCTTTTCCTGTTTTTCTTTCTTTCTGACTTTCCCTTCTTTCTCTCCTCATTGCTTTTTTTTTTTTTTTGGTCAGAGCAGCAGCTAGGCCATCTGCTGGAACAGGCATACAGTAGTATGGCATGAGAGAAACCAGTGGCACACCAGCCTTCATCTGTTATTAGTACTTTTCAGGAAGATTTAGAGGAGGGAAATGTGGAATGTGAGGCAGGAGAAGAAGCGCGCAGAGAGCCAAAAAACTAGAGCTGGAGAACCTGGATCCAAAAAACAAAGTGGTCGTGTGTTTTCCCTGCTCAGCTTTTCTTTTCCCCCTTTGCTCTTTTACTCTCTTCTGCCACAATTTTACTTTGTACCACACACCAACATCACAAGGAACGAAATACAGCCAGCAATACTACGAATCTCTCTCCTCTGATAAGGAAAAAACACAGTTTGTGTGTGCTGATGAGCATTACTAAAGCAGTAACCTTTGCACCAGTATAGATGTTCTTATACTCAAGATATCAGTCATCTATTTATCTGCTTTTTCTTTGCTGGTTATAATAGGCTGAATGCTTCATCTTATGATTTTTGTCAATAATTTCATTTCCTCAACTGCTGACTGTAAATAATCTAGACTGATGTCCGAGAGATGGTTGGAGGTTACTGGGAGGTCAGATGTGTCGTGTGGGCAGCGGGGATATTTGGAAAATTGAAAACTGAGCGGCAGAGAGAGGGGAGAGAAACGACCGAAAAGGTCAATTGAATTAAAGATTGTAAAGTGCCGAGGGAAGGCAAATGCTGCCTGCAGCCACATGACCCCGTGCTCCAACACTCTGTCATTGGCTGCCTCTTCTTAACCCTGAATGTGGAAACTAATTAGAAAGAAAAAATAGGGAATGCGGGGAAAAGAAAGGCCAAGAAAAGGAATAGAGGAGGGAAAAAAGATAACTTTATGTAGATTTGTGTGTGTGTGTGTGTGTGTGTGTGTGTGTGTGTGTGTGTGTGTGTGTGTGTGTGTGTGTGTGTGTGTGTGTG